TTTTTTATATTTTTCCCCAGACAGGACTCTATTTTTTTTTTAACTATTATTTTTTGGCCAGGGAGGCGATGGGCTGAGCTGTCCTGCCGGTGTCACCACTGTCACCATCTGTCACTTGCCGCTACCACCTTGCTCTATACATTTTTGAACAGGAAATCTCCGGAGGTGTAATAAGCGTAATTTAAAAGTGGTGCCCATGATAGGACTAATTAGCAGTGCTAGCTAACGACTCAGCTCTCGGTCCCTCCCTTGTCATTGTTGTTGTTGCCGTCGGTGGCACCCAGAGAAGCTCTGGGTACCGGAAAACCTCTGGAAAGGTGAAATTAGGAGCCCCAAGGCTAATTAGATTAATAAAGGCTGGATCTGTCCTTTCAGATGGGCTGGGTGTCGCGGGTTGAGGCTCGTCCTTTCCTGAAATGCCACCAAAAAGGGGGAAAATACTAAAAAAATTGAGTTTTCCTGCATATTTTCTGTTTTGCCAGGCATCCCTGCATAGCTGGGTTTTGCCGAGCCGTCCATTGGTCCCCGCTCCCCCTGCCCGAAGTGCTGTTTCTTTCAAGGGATGGTTTATTTTTTGGGGGGGGTTATTTTATTTTCCAAAAAGGGGGAAAATACTAAAAAAATTGAGTTTTCCTGCATATTTTCTGTTTTGCCAGGCATCCCTGCATAGCTGGGTTTTGCCGAGCCGTCCATTGGTCCCCGCTCCCCCTGCCCGAAGTGCTGTTTCTTTCAAGGGATGGTTTATTTATTGGGGGGGGTTATTTTATTTTGGTTTGGTTTTTTTTTTTAATTTTTATTTTAATTTCTTATTTTAATATTTTTGTTTTAATTTTTTATTTTAATATTTTTGTTTTATTTTTTTTCAGTGGGGGAAAGCGATAGATGCCGCAGGGAGAGCCGGGGCGCGGGAACAGCATCCGTCTCCACACTGCATCCCAGGAGCGGAGCGAGACCTAGTCAGTCATCCCCTGTCCGAGGGGAAAATGGCATTTTACCATCCCCAGACAGGAAAATGGGGTTTGGGGAGCAACCCAGGATGTGCTGGGAAGGCGGGGGGTGGCCATGAAAATGAAAGCTCCTGGGGAGCCACCCCAAGCCCCCTCCCCATGCCCGGTGCTTGCACCAAGGCCAGCGTGCCTGGAGCTGCTTTAGCTAAAACCCCAGGGATTCCCTCCGAGCCCGGCTCCAGGCCAGGAGGTCCCCGGGGGCAGCTGGGAGGGGGCTCCAGCCTCATCCTTGGCTTCCTCGCCCCGGCGACGTGAGACCACCAGGGATGGCGGATCTGGCCTAGGCAGTGCCTCCAAATATATATATGTATGTGTCTGTGTATATTTCTTCTGAGAGAGAGAGATATATATTTCCCTTATATATACATTTTATATATATAAAGAAAATATATTTAAAAGAATATATATTCTATATATTAAGAAAATGTATATATGTAAGAATATATATATTCTATATATAAAGAAAATATATATAAAA